AATCTAAGCTGGCCTGATGATTTGTTTTCGTCAATAGAATGAGGCAGAAGTGATGTTATATTACTTCCTAGCTTCAGACTCAAGAGGCCTTGTGTGTTTCTGCCCACTTTCTTAGACCCCTGCAACCTCCATATGAATAAGACCAGACTAGCCTCTTGGAAAATGAGAGACCAAATGGAGCAGAGCCGGTGAGCTGATTCATTTCAGCCAAGGTCCCAGCCATATGGAAGAGCCTGTACAAACCCAAAGCCAAACCTCATCCGACCTTCCAGCTAACCCCCACAGCTGACTGCAGCAGACACATAATCAAGGCTACCCTAAACCTGCCAGGCCCTCATAGACTCAGTGACTCATGAGCTAAATAAATGTTTATCGTTTTAAACAAACTAACCCCCTAAAAGGGACATGTGCCCTCTTACAAGAGAAGCCTCAGAACAGAAAATATTTAAATTCCCTTCACTCTCAGACTTCCTACTCTTTCCAGATGTAAAGGAATCTCCTCTTTCCCCCACCTGGATGTGGTGATTCATTCATTCAATCATTCATTCACTTAATAGATTTTTTTTTTTTAATGTAAGGCACTTTGATAGGCGTGGTGGGGCACATGGTACAGGGCATAAAAAACAGAGATCTGATTTATTATTATCATTTTTAATTTTATTTATTTTTGGCTGCATTGGGTCTTCGTTGCTGCATGCGGGCTTTCTCTAGTTGTGGCGAGCGGGGGTTACTGTTTGTTGCGGTGCGCGGGCTTCTCATTGCTGTGGCTTCTCTTGTTGCAGAGCACGGGCTCTAGGCGCGGGCTTAGTAGTTGCGGCATGCAGGCTCTAGGGCGCGTGGGCTTCAATAGTTGTGGCGCACGGGCTAGTTGCTCCATGGCATGTGGGATCTTCCCGGACTAGGGAGCAAACCTGTGTCTTGTGCATTGGCAGGCGATTCTTTTTTTTTCTTTTTTTAAAAAATTTATTTATTTTACTTATTTATTTTTGGCTGCATTGGGTCTTCATTGCTGCACGCGGGCTTTCTCTAGTTACAGTGAGCAGGGGCTACTCTGTTGCGGTGCGTGGGCTTCTCATGGCTGTGGCTTCTCTTGTTGGGGAGCACGGGCTCTAGGCACGTGGGCTTCAGTAGTTGTGGCTCACGGGCTCTAGAGCGCAGGCTCACTAGTTGTGGTGCACAGGCTTAGTTGCTCCGCGGCATGTGGGATCTTCCAGGACCAGGGCTCAAACCCGTGTGTCCTGTGTTGGCAGGCGGATTCTTGACCACTGCACCACCAGGGAAGTCCCAAATCTGATTTATAGTCTAGTTTGAGTAGAAAGGAAATACACCTGGCCCAATAAGCCACCTAGTACATTCGAATTCAGACAATGTGGGATCAATTTATAGATGCGTGATACCTGGATAGTTACTTAATCTTTCTGAGTTTCCACTTCCTTATCTCACAAACAGGAATAATACCTGGCTCTCAGCATGGTCAGGAGGGTTAAAAAATTTGTAAAGCTCTGTGCCCATGGGTCAGGATCACATTCTCCTTCAAATTTTGGGTTGGCACTGAGCACCATCTTTATCACATCAGGATCTCCCCCAAGGAGGGGGGAATCTTCCTGAATTTGAGAGGTGACTGCTTTCAACAGTTCCTCACATAAGGCTCAGTGTAAGTCCAGCCCCCGAGACGGGAATTTGGCATCTCTCCAGCAGCCTGAGAAATTGACTGAGAAGGGAAGGACATACAGAGATCACTCTGCAAATCAAGCCTGATGTGAGCGGTCTCTCCATGTCCACCAAACTACAAATCAAGTGTGGGTGATTCTTATTTGGCTCTCAGCCTTGGCTGGGAGACTGAGCTGCAGGGAAGGCCTCTGGCTGGGGACCTGCCATTCTAAGGTTTTGCCCCAGAAACAGTCCACACGGGGAGCCAGGTCCTGAAGCACAGTCTGAAGATCAGGAAGCAAGCAGTAGTAGACGAATGACAGGGCAGGGGATAAGCCATGAACACCCCCTATGTCTTCTTTCTTCCCCTCTCAGAACCCCCTGACCTCAACCAGAACATGCATAATCTAGAAAGAGCACACAGGAAGCTTGGGTCTTTACTTCCCTGGCTGTCCAGTGGTTAAGACTCTGCGCTTCCAATGCAGGGTCACGGGTTCGATCCCTGGTCGGGGAACTAAGATCCCACATGCTGTGTGGCGTGGCCAAAAATAAAAATAAAAAAATAAAGGAAACTTGGGTCACCACCGATCCTGCACTTCAGCCCTGATCTTGGCACCCCTCCCAGGCCATAGAGAAGGAAACCAGCCCAAAGGGCAGAGAGCTGCAAGTGTGGTTGCAGTATCCAGCTAGGTCAGTTACTGCACTGCCCTCCCATGCCTGCTTCTCCTTATCACCAGGGTATGTGAGAGGGGTGCAGAGAAGCCAGATTCTATAGAAGTCCCTATGGTGAGAGCCGCAGTGATGTAAGCATATATCTTAATGGCTCTGATGGCCTTAAGGAAAACACTCCCCCCATAGAAACATTTCAGGCAGCACTACTTTGACCTAAATTGAGACACTATTAGAAAATTAAATCAGATACCTGATAAATGTCTGTGGACTGATGGCTGAATCCCCATGTGTTGTCCTGGGAAAGTAGTCATACCTCTGGGCTGTTTGTGCTTGGGAACCTGAATGTCTGAGTGTGTCTGTGTGTGAGAGAGCTGGGAGATGAGGGGCAAGTAGGGGGTAAGTGGCAGGGGGAAAGGACGACCAGACCTGCAGCTGAAGGGCTAAAGCCAGAAATCAGTGAGCATGTTTGGGTTGACAACATTGTATCAAGGAGAGGGGAAGGACGGGAGAAGAAAGAGACATAGTGGCGGGGGCGGTGGGTGAGAAATGGAGGCAAAGAAAGGAATAGAGACAGGAGATTGAGACAAAAAGACAGGATGAGAAGGAAGAAGACGGCAAACAGGGGAATAGAAGGGCTAAGAGCTGGAGCATCACTGAGTCTCGGAGTAGAAGCTGGAAATGAGGAAAACTTTGGTTTTTTTTTGGCCACGCTGTGTGGCATGTGGGATCTTAGTTCCCTGACCAGGGATCAAACCTGCATCCCCTGCAGTGGAAGCGTGGGGTCTTAACCACTGGACCACCAGGGAAGTCCCCCAGGAAAACTTATTTTTTTTTTTTTTATAAATTTTTTTTTTTTTTATAAATTTATTTTATTTATTTATTTTTGGCTGTGTTGGGTCTTCGCTGCTGCGTGTGGGCTTTCTCCAGTTGCAGCAAATCGGGGCTACTCTTCGTTGCAGTGCACGGGCCTCCCACTGCAGTGGCCTCTCCTGCTGTGGAGCTGCGGGTTCTAGGCACGCAGCCTTCAGTAGTTGTGGCTCGCAGCCTCTAGAGCACAGGCTCAGTAGCTGTGGCACACGGGCTTCATTGCTCCTCGGCATGTGGGATCCTCCCGGACCAGGGGTCGAACCCATGTCTCCTGCATTGGCAGGCGGACTCCCAACCACTGCGCCACCAGGGAAGCCCCAGGAAAACTTATTAAGAAATATCTCCAGAGACTAAAAAAAAATGCTCTGTGTTAAAAATCAATCTTCCTATCTGTGTCCCCCATCAAGCTATAGGTTTTGTTTTTATTTTTAAAAATTTATTTATTTTGCCTGTGTCAGGTCTTCGTTGCAGCATGTGGGCTCTTTAGTTGAGGCAGGCGGGCTCTTAGTTGCAGCATGTGGGCTCTTGGTTACGGCATGCGTGTGGGATGTAGTTCCCCGACCAGGGATCGAACCTGGGCCCCCTGCATTGGGAGCATGGAGTCTTACCCACTGCACCACCAAGGAAGTCCCAAGTGATAATTTTCAAAGGCAGACATTAGGTTTAAGTCATCTTTACATCCTCTGTGCTTAGCATAGTGCCAGACACATGCTAGGTACTCAATCAGTTGGTTGAAAAAACAAAATATGAAGAAAAGGCAGGACTTGAACATAGAAAGGCAGAGACATAGAATAGAGTGGGTTTGAGCTTAGACTTCAGAGTCATAGGATGTGCTTTCAAATCCCAGTTCTGCCATCTAACTGCAGGGCTTTGAGCAAGACAGCCTTTCCGAATTTAGAGTTGACCATATAAAGTTGTTGTGAGGATTAAATGTCTGCAAAGCTCTTAGCAGATAGCCTGTGTAAGTTCCCAACAATGTTAGCTACTGTTATTACTGTTGTCACAGTTGTTGCAAACAAATAAGTGAGATAGGGGCTGTGATAAATGGATTGCGTGAAAAGCCCCCAGTTAATGACTCTGCCCTGCCACTTTGTAGTGCCTTTCCACTCTAACTCTGGGTCTGGCCATGTGACTTGCTTTGGCTGATGGGACAATGGTAAACGTGATGCAAGCAGAGCTGCAGGGTGTGAAAAAGACTGCCTATCTTTGACTCCTCACTTGGAACTCTGCCACTGAAGGCTAGCACTGCTGGAAGGATGCCGGAGACATGCAGAGGACAGCCAAGGTGTTCCAGCTGAGGCCATCGTGGATCAGTCATCCCCAACCAACCCACCAACTATTACAGATGTATGAGCGAGCCCAGGGAAGGTCAGCCAGGTCCGTCCCAGATCAGCAAGACCACTCAGCCCTAACCCCCAGACTTATGTGAAATAATAAATAGTTGCTATTTTAAGCCACTAAGTTTGGAGTGACTTGTTACAGCAATAGCTAGCCGATATAGGGGCCTCGGAAGCCCTAGTCCTCTAAAATTGAAAGGCAAATGAGAGAGGAAGTCATGGTCTGCCAGGTTTTATTTGTAGGGTCTGCTGTATTTGTACCAGAGAAAGCTGCAAAGAGTGCTTTGGAGAGTCACAGGGAAGGGATGATAGAAGCAGGTCCCCTCACCAGACCCCACGGGAGCCCTTCAGGTAGAGGGCAGACCTGAGATGGGAGGCAGCTGGGGACAAGTCCAGGCAGGCAGCAGCAGGGCTGCAACTAGAAGAGAGGAGGCCAGAGGGGTCAGGCTCGCCCTGGTCGGCCTCCTGCAGGTCTCAGGTCCTGGGGTCATATATCCGCCCCATGAAGACTGGGAATTTGTGCTCCTGGTCCCAGAGCACAAAGAGGAAGGGCTGCTGCACTTCAAAGACCAGCAAACTGCGGGCCACAGAGATAGCGGAGGCTGCAGCCGCCTCCACCCCGCTCTCCGTCAGCTCCAGTACGGACTGGTGCTGCATCGCAGAAAGCTGCAGATCCGGGTCCTCTGTCAGCCCGCACAGGTTGATGTTGTAGGTAAAGTCAAAGAATTCTAAGGCATAACCAGAGAAAAACAATAAGTCAAAGACCAGCACGATTGTACAACACGGGGAATATAAACAATGTTTCATAGTAACTGTAAATGGAAAGTAACCTTTAAAAATTGTACAAAAGGGACTTCCTTGGTGGCGCAGTGGTTAAGAATCTACCTGCCAATGCAGGGGACATGGGTTCGAGCTCTGGTCCGGGAAGATCCCACATGCTGCGGAGCAACTAAGCCTGTGCGCCACAACTACTGAGACCACACGCCACAACTACTGACGCAGGTGCACTCTAGGGCCCACGTGCTGCAACTACTGAGTCCGCGCGTCTAGAGCCCGTGCTACGCAACAAGAGGAGTCACTGCAATGAGAAGCCCGCATGCCGCAATGAAGAATAGCCCCCCACTCGCTGCAACCAAAGAAAGCCCACGTGCAGCAACGAAGATGCAACATAGCCAAAAAATAAAACATAAAATTGTATAAAAATTTTAAAAGTTAAATTAAAAAATAATAATTTAAAATATTTTTAAAAATACTGCAATTAAAAAAAAAAACAGCACAAAACCCTCAGCTGTTGGAGACCTTTGTCCTGAATTTTCTGGGTTTGTCCCAAGTTCCAATTCCCTCTTTCTCCTCCTCCTCCTTGTATATCAAATTATAATCACATTATAATGTGCCTTCCGGTCCAGTTCATGGGATCCTCTAACAGTGGGCCCGTCTTCACTCCAACCACCACTTTCTCTCAAGTGGTGAGAAGCCTTGCCGCCAACCCCCCAAAACCCTCAAAAGTGATGCCATTGCTTCCTTATCAACAAGGACCTTGGAAGTGAGGTAATGTATCGGAAAGAGGACGTATGTTCTCAAATGAGGTCACATACAAGGGTTTGATGTCATATACTAGGAAACAAGGTTATCTATTAGGAAGTCAAGTTCTATAACAGAAAATGAAGTGATATATTTGGACATGACATCAAAGATCAGGAAGTGAGGTCTAAGGTTAGGAAACAGAGTATCTGTTGATTCCCCTAAACTCAGAAGCCTCCGGACCCTTTTAGTAGAGAGTTTCTTGCATATACCGTGGGGTGGCTGAGTTTTATGACATGTCTCTGAGGGAGGAGCTTCCACTCCCACCTCGGTGACCTGTTCCCAGTGTCTATGTCACAAGGGACCACAATGGAAACAGTTGGGAGGGCTTGTAGACCTATATTGGGGTTCCGGCTCACTTCTAACCAGCTTAAGGGACCTTGCGTAAGTCATGCAAACTTTCTGAGTCTCAGCTTCCTCCACGACCCAGTGGGATAATCAGAGGATTGAGGGGCAGCCTGAGATTACGGATGAGAGGCTGCACGGAATTTCAAGGCCCGCCCTCCACCCCCAGCCCACCATCACAACCCCTCCTCCTCTGATGGCCTAGGATCAGTCCTGCCAGGGCTCACCCAGCAAGTCCTGGCTGCTCTTTACTTTGATGCGAGGCATCACCAGGTGAGTAGGATGGAACTTGGCCGACTCCAGCTTCTTCATGACGGCCTTGAGGACAGGGGGGCTGAGAGCCTGCTCCATGTCTTCAAGACGGTGTTTCAGGGTCTGGGGCACCAGGATCACAAAGCTCAGGTTGTGGGACAGCTGCAGACGGCCCACCTGGAGAGTAAGACACGCACGTTGTCAGTCTTCCTACCCCAGCTCTCTCCTGGCTCCTACCCTCTGTGTCCTGAGGCTGATCTTCAGTCCGCTGCTACAGTCTGTACTATTTCAACAAGCAGCAGCCAGAACTAGGCTCCCAGGCTTTGCCATGAGATGAGGACGCCAGCTGGGTGAACAGTGCTGGTCTAACCCTGTGCTGGTGAGAGGCAGAGGAATGAGCATGAGTTTTGGGGGTTTTTTTGCAGTACGCGGGCCTCTCACTGCTGTGGCCTCTCCCGTTGCGGAGCACAGGCTCCGGACGCGCAGGCTCAGAGGCCATGGCTCACGGGCCCAGCCACTCCGCGGCATGTGGGATCTTCCCGGACCGGGACACGAACCTGCGTCCCCTGCATCGGCAGACGGACTCTCAACCACTGCGCCACCAGGGAAGTCCGAGCACGAGTTTTGATCACACAGGCTGAGGATCACATCCTGACTCTACTGCTGAGTAACTATGCACTACAGGCAAGCAATTTGATCTCTCTGAGCCCAGTTCCTTTCAAGTATGTTGTGAATAAAGTATACAATGTACATAATGTACCACCACAGTCATCAGGTTCGTCCTTTTAAAGACTTTTGATGGCTTTTCACTGCCTACAAGATTAAGTATAAACTCTTGGTCTGGCATTCAAGATTGGGTACAAGCTGATCCTAGCCTACCTTTTCAGTTAGTTTGCCACTAGAAGAACTTACAGCTGATGGCCAGATAAAAGTATGAGAGAAAAGCAGGACCCACAAGTCCAATACAGGGGTTTTCTCAACTCAGGGCAAATTTGCCCCCAGTGGACATCTGGCAATGTTTGGAGCTGGCAGAAACAGGAGCTCACAGTGCTACTGGCATCTAGTGGGTAGAAGCCAGGGATGCCGCTAAATCCTACAATGCCAGGGACAGCATCTTATAATGAAGAATCATCGAACCCAAAACGTCAATAGTGCCAGGACTGAGAAACTAATAGGATATAAGAGACTATTACTGAAATGGCATTATGGTTGAGGTTGAGAGATGGACAAGAATAATCTAGAATGCAGAATTCAGTTGGGCAATGAAGAAATTAACTGAAAACAATCTATTGTTGGAATTGAAAGAATGGTCCACAAGAAGCAGGTTGTACACTGATTTATCACCTGAAGAGCATGGACATGGGGATACCTGTTGACAGAGGCTCTAGACAGGGTACACTCATCTGGCAGCACACACCCTTCATGTCCTGTGTACAGACCTTGCCTCTGTGACCAAAAAATTACCACACTGTGGTCTTGAATTTTCAAGCCAACAACCTCAGCATACCTGAGTTGGTAAACCTAACCCCCTTCATTGGGTAAATAGTCTTTAAATCCCAGGAAAATTTAGAATGAAGTATGGAAATAACAAAATAAGCCAACTCTGTAGTATGAACACCAGGTGATAAGTTCAGAGCAATCTGTGTTTGTTGTTTAAAATAGCGTTTATAATTTTTAAGAGAATCAGACATGCGAGTTTTATGCTTTTGAACAAAAAGGTGTGGGATAATTTCATTTGGTTTGAGAATGATGTTGAGATGTTGCCCGAAAGTTGATTTACCCTCCAGATTGAACTTTCGATTCACAAGTGGGCTTTAGGTGCCAGCGAGATATGGCCAAGCAGGGCTGTAATTCTGTTCTGTCAGGTGTCTGACATGCTAAAAGAGAAAATCAAGTATATCAAATGTATGAAGTATTTTATAAAGTATATACATGAGCTCAAAACGCTTAGGGGAATATTAATTAACCATATTTGTAAATGAGACAAATGGTTTAAAGGAGTTTAATCTGTTCAAAATAGCTTAATTGAAGAACACATGAAAGTTAGTGTTTTATATAAATATTATGATTAATAATGTAGCAAATTCAGCTAAAAATTTAAAGGCTTAAGTAAAACTTTGATTTTGAATTTATAACAGGAATATATTATATCAAGTATTTGTTTAAAACCCACGAAACTGTAAGGAGTGGGGGTTTTTTTTGCATAAAACTCCTTCTTTGCCATTAAAAAACCCTCACATTGGGGATTCCCTGGTGGTGCAGTGGTTGAGAATCTGCCTGCTAATGCAGGGAACACGGGTTCGAGCCCTGGTCCGGGAAGATCCAACATGCTGCGGAGCAACTAGGCCCGTGAGCCACAACTACTGAGCCTGCACGTCTGGAGCCCGTGCTCCACAACAAGAGAGGTCGCGATAGTGAGAGGCCCGCGCACAGCGGTGAAGAGTGGCCCCCGCTCGCCGCAACTAGAGAAAGCCCTCGCACAGAAACGAAGACCCAACACAGCCCAAAATAAATAAATAAAAATTTAAAAACCACAAAAAACAAAAAAACTCTCACATTGATATTCTCCCCCATATACTCTGAGTTAGAGTGATGCCCTGAACCGGCCATATATATTCACTCTTCTCTGCCTTATGCATGTATTCTGGTTCTGTTAAATAGTTGGGATGTTCAAAGCCATTGGATAGGGACGGATGGATTGAAGGGTAGAAAAGTGCATGAATGGTTAAGAGTGGTCAAAAGTACCCACCTCTGTGACGTCTTCCTAGCCATTCATACTAAGGGAGTTGCTCTCTTTAGCATCTTCCATTGAATTCATTCATTTATTCAGCAAACATAATGAGTACTTATTATATGTGGTATTGTTCTAGGCCCTCAGATATAGTAGGAAAAAAAAGAGGTAAGGTCTCTGATCCCAAGGAAAGAGACAGTATCTCAGGGAGATAGATAATACTGCAATCAAATAAGCAAGTAAACAACATAATTCATATAGTGATAAGTACCATGGATATAATAAAACAGGATGGGCTTCCCTGGTGGCACGGTGGTTGGGGGTCTGCCTGCTGATGCAGGGGGCACGGGTTCGTGCCCCGGTCCGGGAAGATCCCACATGCCGCGGAACGGCTGGGCCCGTGAGCCATGGCCGCTGAGCTTGCGCGTCCGGAGCCTGTGCTCCGCAAAGGGAGAGGCCACAGCAGTGAGAGGCCCGCGTACCGCAAAAAAAATTAAAAAAAAAAAACAAAAAAAACCCAAGATGATGTTACAGGGTGAGGAGGCTACTTTAAGGAGGGGGAAGGCCTCTCTACCAAGGTGGGCTTTTAGCTGATGGCAGATGAGCAGAAGGAACAAGTTATGTGAAAAGCTGAGTGAAGAGTGTCCAGGCAGAGGGAAAAGCTAGGGAAAGCTCCCGAGGTGGAAACAAGCCTGGCATGTTCCAGAGCAGATCCTCTATTTCTCAGCCTGGTACCAAGCCGCTGGGTATCTCCCATTGTTTTCTGTCTCACAGTTCTGTCTCTTGCTGTCCTAACAAGGCAGAAATATCTGGTCATCGGGCATGAGAGCGTTTACTAACTAGAATCTTCTGGGCTCTATGTTCTCTCTTCCCTCCCTCCTCATCCACTGAAATCATACTGTTCAATTTCTGCTAAGGAACTTAAGCCATTTAACACATGCACACACATGCACTTACCACATACATGAATGCATGGATATACCTAGACATGTGTACACATACAGATGCATGCTGTACACACGTACACACACAGAGGACTTACTAAGCCAGCAGGGCCTACTGGTGGGTTGACTGGAAAGAGAAACAGAGGCACAGAATAGGAACATGACTCACTTTCTGCCATTCAATGCAGTAGGGATGCATGAAGAAATTTTAGAATCCTGCTTTCCAACCTCAAATATATAATGCCTGCCTCGGCCAAGGCTGGAGAGGGGGAGAAGGAGAAAAGATAGGGTGGAAATAGAGTCAGAAGCAGTAGAAATGATGAATTAAGGGTAAGGCTATGCCCCACACTGATGGAGCCACAGCAGGAAAGTCAGGATACGCAAGAGGCTCTGAAACAGGAGCGCGAAGGTCCAAGAACTTACCTTGGCCTTCAAAGTCGGGTCTGTGAAGTGGGCCACAGGGTACTTCTTGCTATTCATCATGGGCACTTTTATCACAGAGGATTTGCTGTAAAAGCCCTTCATATTTGTTCTGCTGTGGTTAAATGTTGTCTTCCACTTGGCTAGACGGAAGAGTGGGGGAAGGGTTACTCTAATGCAGGTGGGGAGAGGATGAAGCGGAGTTAAAGGTTCTGTTAGCAAGGGGTGGGGCAGGTACCATGGGATCCAGTCATGGAACTTGGGGTTGAGTGGGTTTTAAGCCAGGAGGAAAAGGTGGAACTCAGGACGGGAAGACACCCTGGTCCAGGGCCCCTTACCACTCAGGTAGATAGCGTTGAGAAGGACAAGGCGGGAGTCGTCGGGCAGGCTGTCTAGCAGTTGCCTGATCTTGTGGTTGGTCTTCTGGGCCACCCAGGCATTGATGAGCTGCAAGCTGACTTTACTGTCATTTTCCAGGGCTTTGGGGCTATTGCCATACAGGCTCCGAGAGGCATTCGCAAAGGTGTCCCTTATAGCCAGGTCTGGCAGCAGAAGCAGGTTGACAGAGGGAGGCATGAGATCCCGGAACACTCTCTCCCCTTCCAAGAGCAGGCTTGGAGAGGGAGCTTGTTTCCCATCACTCTTTCTGCTCCAATGGACATAGTATGTCGGAGCAGGGGTCCAGCCCACTCCTCTTACAGATGTGCTCAGTGAGACCCAGAGAAGGCAAATCCTGAGCTAAGAGCAGAAGAACTCATCCCAGGCTTTAACTGCCTCTATCTGCCATGGGACCACGGCTTGGCAAGGTAACTCTTTGAGATGTTAACTTCCATTTGCCTGTATTTCCTCTCTTTTCTTCCCTTAATTCAACAGGGAACAGACTCTGCTTTTCAGCCTCACTGGAAGGTGTGTGACAAGACTTCCTGGGTTCTGCTCTCCAAAGCCCAGGTCCACTAAAGAAAAAAAGTGTTTGAAAGAGAAATTTTTCCTGGACTAAATAGATAATATTGAATGCAGCTGTGTTTTCCACCAACCTAGCAAGACAGAGGATAAATCTGACTTATAGCAAATAAGTAAATGCAACATTTCTTGAATCCCTCTAAGCCATATTTTTCCCATCTCTAAAAAGAGGGTTTTGGGGTTTTTTTTTAAGATACTGGTGTGATAGGTGAGTTTTCTTTCTTTCTTTCCTATATGTTCTCAGGTTATTTTTCTGTTTGTGTTATTTTTTTTTTTTGGCCACGCCGAGAGGCATGCGGGATCTTAGTTCCCCAACCAGGGATCGAACCCATGCCCCCTGCAGTGGAAGCACAGAGTCCTAACCACTGGACCACCAGGGAATTCCAATATTTTCTCAGTTTTCTACAATGAATGAGTATTGATTTTATAGTAAAAAAAATAAGACAGAGAAATTTTTTTCCTTATTCAAAGAGGAAAATCACACTAAATCTGTAATTTTTAAGCTCAGCAGAACTGAGGTTTCAAATACAGTCATGTCTGAAGCCCACAATACAAAAGGGCTCTGGTTGAGGCTGGTGGGAGTTCAAAGCCCACCTGGCTTCATCTCCCTCTCACAGGAAGTGACACCTCACTTCCCCCTCAGACTCCCTAACTCCTTACTCCCACCAGGACTCCTGCAGCAGCTCTGCAGAACCCTAGGGCTCTGGGGAGCGAAATTTGAAAGAACTGCATTAGGTCATTTTGGAAGCTTATTGCTCTGATTACCTACCTAATAATGTAATATACATAAATGACAACAAAGTCACATAACACAAAAGTACAAAGAATAGGAGTCCCAAGACCCCCTGACCCAGATTAACAAACTTTTCTTTTCAGCCTTGCAGCTTGCAGGATCTTAGTTCCCCAACCAGGGATTGAACCCATGCCCACAGCAGTGAAAGATGAGAGTCTTAACCACTGGACCACCAGGGAACTCCCAGATTGACAGGCATTTTTTGTCTATTTTATGTCTAAAGCTCTCCAGCCCTCTCTATTACTGAATGCAGAAGGCTATTCTTTTTTTTTTTTTTTTTTTTTTTTTTTTTTTTTTTTTTTTTTTTTTTTTTTTTTTTTTTTTTAAAGAAGATGTTGGGGGTAGGAGTTTATTAATTAGTTTATTTATTTTTGCTGTGTTGGGTCTTCGTTTCTGTGCGAGGGCTTTCTCTGTGGCAAGCGGGGCCACTCTTCATTGCGGCAGAAAGCTATTCTTACTTTAGATGGAGCTGATGAATGCAGATGATGACTTGTCCAAGGTCTCACCAGGGGACCTATCCAGCTCCCAGGAGCCACCTGATATTTCTGAGGCCCCAACCTGCTCTGCATTCCGTCCCCCTGTTCTAGTTCTAACATTCCCTCTGTCCTCTCTTTCCCCAGTGCTGAGTCTCCATCAAAATCCTGAGGACCCAGCTCAGCACCTGCCATCCTTCCCTGGGGAACTCACCTGGGCTGTGGAAGATTTGAGAGACTGTGGTAAAGCCTTTGGACCTGGAGGCCTTCAGGGCCTGGTGGACACAGGTAAAGTCTTTGGGGTAAGAGAGGAGTCGCTCCAGGCTTTCCTTGGTTTCTCCTCCAGCCCCTACAACAAACAGCAGAGACAAGGGGCAACTGCAGGAGGAGTGGAAAACCACCGCTGCTGACCAGGGTTGAGGGACCAGGCTGCAATGGGGGGAATCCCATCTCATCAGAGCCAGAAGTGTTTGGGAAGATAATACATGTCAGAAAGAGAAGGGTGGGGGAATTATGAATAATCACAGGATTTTCTAGGGCTTTGAATACTTTCTTCCTCCGTTTTCCTACCTAATTTTAATACCACTCATCATCCAAAGCCTGGTCCAATCGCTGCCTGTTCCACATGACTTATTATTTAGTTGGTTCAAGTTTACAAAGGTTCGCCTTATAGGCAGGGACACTAGATCATGGTTAAGAGACGTTAGGAAATCGTAAAAGAGGATGCATGTTCAATACCCTTTCCGTTTTTCATTATTGAATATTTATTGTACACATCTTCTGTGCAGTAATAGATAAAATGTATCGAGCACTTAATTCATTCTAGGCATCATAAGTGCTTCTCCCATATTACCTCATTGAATCTTCACCATAACCCTTTTACGTAAGGACAGTTCCTATCCCCGTTACACAGATGAGAAAACTGAGGTTTAAGAGAGTAAGTAATCTACTCATTTTAAGATCACAAAGTTAATAATTGGAGGATGGAGAAAAGATTCAAGCCATATCTTTTGGGCAATAAAAAAATTAACTGAAACCAATCAGTTGAAATATGCCTCCCAGGGGACATTTGGCCACATGTGGAGACATTTTGGTTGTCATAACTGGGGGGTGGGGTGCTATTGGCATCCAGTGGGTACAGGCTAGGGATGTTAGGATTCTGGGACTACAGAAGAAAGGTTCTTATGTGCTCACTGTATTGTCTCTAGTAGCCTTCCTGGAATTCCCCCTCGGAGTGACAGCTGTTTCCACTGCTGTAGCACTTTGTTGGTGCCATTCCTAGGGTAATTACCCCAGGGGACTTGATTGTGGTCTCTCAGGAAAGCAGAGGAATTAACATTTTTTGACCTCCTACCACATCAGGCACTGGGCTATCTGCTTAATTTTTTTTAGGTCACTACAACCATTTCCATTTTACACAGAAGGACTCAGGCTCAGAGAAGTTAAGTGATCTGTCCAAGGCCACACAGCTAAGAAGCAGCATTATCATGATTCTACTCTACATCTCTCTTATCATTCATCTTCCTTATGGCCTTACCTTGAACCATGATTGGTGGCTCGGACCTTATTTTATATGTTCTTGTACAGTCCATGGGATTTTATAAGCAATAGTGCCTATTACATCATTGTTAAATGAAAGAATAAATGAAAGTTCCAGAATAAAAAGATTCCCCTCCCTCACCCCCAATGTAGCCCATTTTTACAGCTTCCTTCCAGAGGCATAGATAGCTGTGTATGTATCTGGATACGTACCCCCCTCATGCAAACATCTAACACATAACCTGGAGAGAACTCAGTCAGGTTCTTACCGAGCAGGACTTGAGTGAGGAGGCTGGCGATGCTGAACGGGGAAAAGACAATGTTGGTCTCCTTCTTCTTTATTACTGAGAAAGTGTGGTAGAGATTCAGGGAGAAATCTGTCAAAGCCTCCCCCAGCACGGCCTCTGCTGAATGACTCTCCAAGTCAGAGCAGGAGGTGACAGGCGCTGGGCAGAAGGGCTTAGTGGTGGCCTGGGCTGTTGGCTGGATGGGTTGAGTGGTGGCCTGGGCTGTTGGTTGGATGGGTTGAGTGGTGGACTGGTTGAAGGGCTCGGTGGTATTGACTGTTTCGATGGTCAAGTTGGTTTTCAGCAGCGTGGAAGAGCCCTCGGTGTCTTTAATGGATACATTGTTGGGAATATCTCCTTTTGGGATATCTCCTTCACTTTCCCCTCCTTGTAAGCTCTCTGGATCCACGGGGCTGATACCAATCAGATTTGAGGAGGCTCTATCCTGTGGTTCAAGAGACTTTCTTTCTTTCTTTTATTATGAGGCACAGTCCCCTTCAAACACTCAAAGCAGGAAGAGAAGGTGGGCTACCAGAGAATTATTCCTGGGAAAGCCTGGTGGCAGAGGGGCCTGCCCTGGAGCCACCACCAGTAATTCTTTCAGAGAAAGCGGGTATTATCCCATTTCACTGGTAAAAGAAACTGATGCTGAGACAAATTAAGTAACTGGCCCAGGGTCTCAAGGGAAGTGGAAGGAAAAACTGGAGTCAAACTTGGGTCTCTGATTCCAGATCCTTGATCACTACCACATCATCTGATACATCTCAAAGGGCACCTCCAGTGTCAACTTCACACACATACATGCACACGCCAAAGTTAAGCACTCACCTTTGTCCTGGGCTCATCCCTTAACCCTGACCTCCCAGACCACGGGGGAGAGCCTAGGTCTCGGCAGCCCAACCTCCATTCCGCAGCTCAGTTTCCCTCAACAACCCCTTGCTTTTAATATCGCAAAACACTGCCCATCTCCTTCCCCTCTTTGATCCTTCTGCTTTATTCTCCACTTCGTAAATCAGGACAGGTAGCCTCGGAGAAGTGACTGGCTCAAGGCCACCGCAGCTGGTACCGTAGCGAGTCAGGATTAGACCCTGCGTGGGTCTGAATCCCCGCTC